CCCCAAAGAAGGCCCCAGGATCTTCTGCTGACCCTTTCCAGCTATTTATCCCTGCTCTCTGCCCAGCTACCCCTCCTCCCCCACCCCGAGCTCTTGCTGTATTATCCCACTTCACGCTGGGTCTCCATTTTATTGTAGTTCTTCACTACAGCTGGGATTTTTTTTCTCACTGCCTTAGCAGTCGTTTGGACAGGGTGGTTGGGGCAAAGTCTTTTTTCTACCACTGGGAACCAAGTCCTGTTAGGAGTGATATAATTTTGAGAGGGCACAGCTTTCTTCTCACCGAGACCAGCCAGCCAGCTCCTTCCTTTGCCCAGGGGATGCTCACAGGCAGCATGGCGAATGGCTGAGGCAATGTCCACGGAAAACTGAGGGAGACCAGAGTCTGCCCCTTCCTTCCCAGCCCTGTGGGTGCAGAGCCTTCTCAGCTCCCATCATGTCCAACAAGAACTGAGGGTGATTAGCACCCAGCAGCCATGGGCCCTCACATGGCCCAAGCCAGGTTTGTTTGACTGCCCTTTAGCTTATTTTGGACAGGCGGGTCTTCTCTCTTCCCTGCTAAAGGGCCCTTTTTGCTGCTGGATCCCAGCCAGCTGCGCCCCTGCTGTAAGCCATCCCCACACCAAGACGTCCCTGGGACTCATCCTCACATACCAGAAAAGAAACCTACCTCACGGAGCTTCTTGCGCAAGGTCCTTAAGGGTGGCTGTGACCCTCGGAGCAGCTCAAGGGGACACCAGGCCAGAGGAGCACATACTGGAAAGCTCTGGCACAAAGAGGAGAGCTTTGAGCCCCGCCTGCTACGTGCCCTCCTCCCAATGACTCACCCCGCACAGCTTCTCATTACCGATATTGACAAGCGGCTAATGATCTTTGAGCTCACGTCCGATCAAATCAACGCACCGCATGTCGGGGGGCTTGGGCTCTGCTGGAAAAACCCATGTTCCTATGGAAGTAGCCTGGAGAGAAATGGATTCAAGGACACGGACACGTGAGATGGGGGCTGGGGAGGGAGAGCGAGCCAGTGCCTGGGACGCATCGTTCGAACAAGCAGGGAGCAGGCAGGTCTATAATAATATGGGGGCGGGTGAACAGGATGCAGAGGGTTCCCCAAAAACCACTGATGCCGTGGCATGTCAGGTGGGCTGGCCAAAGCTTAGCTGGAGAGGAGGCGGGGTGAGGTCAACAATAAAGGAAGGCACTGTCGCTAGTGCTGGCTCTAGGCACTTGCATGCTTTGGGGCTGGAGTGGTGCTCTCCGGAGCCTAGGGTCCCACAGGGGATGTGAAGCTTAAGGTGGGTGTAGTTCTCCTGGACCTGTGGAGGTGCAACGCCCAGCACTGAATGCACAGGAAGATAGCTCTCTCCTCAGTAGCCTGCTTCCGCTCAGGTGGTTTTGTGGCAGTCATATAAGCCCAGGGTAGACACAGCTTAGGCTCTAGGACAAAACTGATCACTGCATGGGGTTGGGAAGGAATGTGCCCCAATGTAGAACATTGCAGGCATTGTTGCCTGTTGGTTTGGTTTTGTACTGGGGAGGAGAGGGAGAGCATTGCTTTTCACTGAAACATCACATATTGGCCACTGCCAGAGGCAGGATTCCCTGATGGGAAGGACCAATTGTCCGATCTGATATTGCAAATCCAATTTCTCCTAGTGGGGGTAGCCAGAAGTCCTCGTTTTGCCGCTTTTCAGGACCTGTGACAATTATCCTTTACGGGGAATGCTAAGATGTCTCTCAAAGGGATTATAAGGCAACTGCTGTGTGGTGCCTCCTCCTCACTAAGGTTGGTATTTTCAGAGACACAGACACACTCCAGGGAATTAACATATGATTCGACTCAGGGAGTGCCTATAAAAAAAGACACCTTCTGACTTAGTCGATCTGCTCCTTGTGTGAAGGCAGAGCTGTACGTGGGCTCAAATGAGTGACAAAGACACACTTAACAGCTCTTGCCTTGCGATAGACACAGCCAAGATTGATCTGGATTCAGTTCCTTCTGGCTCATCATCGTTAGCAGAGTGATTTGCTTAGTTCCAATCAGTTACCCCTCTGTAAACCCACTGAAGATAATGGGGCTGCCCTAGGATTGCTGAGAACATACCGGGGTGTTGAGGCATTTTATAATACACAAGAAGGAAAGAACTTGGCTTGACATTGAGGCCTGATTTACACTGGAAATTTCGGTCAAACTTAACCACATTACATTGATTTTCTAAACAATGAGTCCACACCACCAAGCCCGTTCTGTCAGCTTTAAGGGCCGTTAAAGTAGATTTCAGTACTCCTGCTTTTTACAAGGAGTCACACTAAATGCAACCTTGCATGGTTGACTTTATAGCAGTGGTGAGCAGACCTCAGAGCAGGCAGCACCCCTCAGCATCACACCTCACCACGAATGCCCAGGGTCTCAAACGAGCACCACCATGGAGCATGCAAGAAAGCCTGTGAGAGCCTGTGAGGAGAGGAATCAGTGCAGGCAAAACTACAAGCAGCAAAAGAAGCCCCTATAGTGATACCTATGCCAAAGGGCATGGTGGAGAAAGGATACACTAGGAACACTCAGCAGTGCCACATGAACATAAAGGAGCTGAGGTAGATGTACCAGAAAACAAAGGAGGCAAATGGACGGTCTGTGTCATCACTGCAAAAATGCCTCTTCTATGAGCAGCTGCGTATGATCCCAGAGTGGAGGGTGGGGGACCTGACCAGTTTCCCAAGCCAGTCTGTGGATTCCTCCCAAGACACTTCTCCAGCAGCCTCAGGCAGCTGCATGGAGGACAGTGTGGATGAGGAAGAGGAGGAGGAGGAGAATGCTCAGCAGATGAGCAGAGCATCTGATCTCACCAATAACCAGGACCTTTTTTTAACTGTGGAAACAATCCCTCCTCTCAGGATGTCTTGCTGCTGGGCCCTGGTGTTGAGAAGGGCACTTCCAGTGAGTTCTCTTTTTTTAATCATGCCACAAGTGGGGTTAGGGCAATTGGGCGTGATCTGTGGAGGCCTCTCTGCCTACACAGCAGGGGGGGTGTTCCCGAAACAACTTGTTAACATGTCTGGAGACAGAGCGGGAGTCCTCCCTGTACATCTCCATAAAGTTCTCAGAGAGGAACTCTTTCATCCTCCTTCTCCAGCGTTATTCTGTCCTCCATGGTAGGACACCTTTCCATGCCAAGCCAGCAGTAAGTGGTCTGGCCTCGCTGCAGCACAAAGTCCAGGTGTCTGGCCACATCCACTCCTTTTCATTCTGTGTGGGTGAGAGAAAACTGATATTGTGCATGGCAACTTCGATGATGTAGAGGAAGCTATTAACTGATACCACAGCAGTAAACCTCCATTTGCTCATCCCCAATGAAACATAGCTTGAGCCTCCACCATGCCATTCTGCCATGCTCTCCCCTGCTTCATGAGGCTCCTCTGTGTCTGCATGAACCCCTGCCTTCCACCATGCCCAGATCCCCTCCCACCCCCACATGTCCCTTCAGGAAAGGAAAATTGCATTCTCTTGGCAAACATGGAGTGCTGAACACATGATCTCCACATGAGCTCCTACCCATTTGCCATGGCCAGATCCCTTTCCCGCTGCAGGCGTGAGCCCTGGCCTGTCCCTTATCATGCCACCAAACTGAGTCTAGCTGCTCCCCTAAGATCTATGTGGTGTACCTGCTGCATAGTGGGCACTTAAATGCATAACTGTGGCCTTGTATCTAACGAATCCTCATTATCTTTGGACAGACTTTCCTTTAATGCTTAAAGATTAGGTTTTACACTCGACAATTTATCTCCTGTAAAGTCTGCCCTGCTCTTTTCATTACAGTGAGTGCAACAGTGGGTAAGCTGCACACTGCCCCGGCTTCTCCAGCTACCCTGCTAGCAGAAATCCAAAGACAAAAATCTAGTAGGGATGACATGTTCAAGGAGCAAATGCAATCTGCCCACTTGGACAGGGAGCGATTAAGTGTGTGGAGGAAAACACTGCTGCAGGAGATACAAGCAGAGTGTGAGGACAGGAGACTGTCCTGGAAATGCGACGTGAAGACACAGGAAAGAGTCTTGATAGTCAAGACAGAGGTGATGACACTCATGGTGGATTTCCAGGATAGCCACATGCACAGCCACTCTCTCTAGCCCATGCAGATCCACAGTCCCTCCTCACCAAGTTCCATAGCCTCCTTTCCCGGGGCCCCAGAATGCCAAAGATGAAGGAAGTCCAGGGCAGCCTCATACTCAACCCCCAGGGATACATTCTGGAGCAAAAGGCTGTCCTTCTCATACCTGTGATAGCTTCATAGGGGGACTGTAATACTCCACTTTCCCTTCTCTCCCCTGCTTCCCTGTGTTCCCTAAATAAAAACATGTGATTTCTCAACAACAGTATCTTTATTGCTTGTGTCTCATGGGGAAGGGGGTTTAGAGGATTTACAGGCAAACACATTTAATGCAGGGGGCACTTTGTTAAAAGCAACGTGCATGACTGTCATAGTGCTGTCTGGCCATGCACAACGCTCTTTTTCAAAGCCTCTCTGATTTGCAGTGCTCCTCAATGTGCTCTCCTTATTTCCCTGATGTCTGGCTGCTCATAATTAGTGGCTAGCCTTACTTTCACAGATATTATGGAGCTCTCAACAGACTGCTGCAACAAAGGGAATGTTGCTTTTGCTGAGATCTAACCTAGTCAAACTGTGAATCCTTCCCTTTAAATGTCGTAAAGCACATTCTACCACCATTCTGCACTTGCTCAGCCTGGAGCTGAACTGCTCCTGATTGTGATCCAGGCTGCCTACATATGGTTTCATGAGCCATGGGAGCAAGGGGTAGGCTGGGTCACCATGGATCGCTGTTGGCATTTCAACTCTTCTAATGGTAAGTTTCCAATATAGGAAGAAAGTTCCAGCTTGCAGCTATCTGAAAGGACAATAGTTCCTAAAGATGTGTGTGCCATAAATTTTTCCCAACCATCCCACACTGATGTTGGTGAAATAGCCTTGGTGATCTAACAGTGCCTGCAGCACCATGGAGAAGTACCCCTTGCCGTTTATGTACTCTTTGGCAAAGTAGTCGGGTGCCAAGATAGGGATGTGCATTCTATCTATCACCCCACCACAGTTAGAGAACCCTATTGCAGCAAAGCCCTCCACTATGTCCTGCATGTTTCCCAGAGTCGCTGTCCTTTGTAGCAGAAGGGTATTGATTGCCTTGGCTACTTGGATCACAACAGCCCCCACTGTACCTTTTTCCACTCCAAACTGATTCGCAACTGACTGGTAGTGGTCTGGCACTGCAAGCATCCACAGGGTTATTGCCACTCGCTTCTCAGTTGTCAGAGCGGGTCTCATTCTGGTATTGCTACACTTCAGGGTGGAGGGGAAGCAATTCACAAATTTCCATGAAAGTGGCCTCAGGCATTCAGATGTTTTGCAGCCACTTCTGATCATCCCATAGCTGCATAACTATGCACTCTCTGTCTGTGCTTGTTTCACAGCACCAAAGCCGACGTTCCACTGTGTCGACAGGATCAAATGCCGCCATCATCTGTCAATAGCTCAACTCAAGTGCTTCACAGAAGAGTATGTTCATGGCCTCCCAAGATTCTTCCTGATTCCAGTGAGCCTTGGAGATGCTCTGGACATTCTGCAACATAAAGTGCAAAGTGGTTAAGGTGATTGCCATAGTACTTTGCTGCTGAATTGTTTCCATGCTGGGTTCCATGCTTACCCTGCTATGGCATCTACATGGATAACCAGGGGGGGG